CCTGGCTGTGTCCCCTGCAAACTTCTTGTGCCACCCTACTGCTGGGACAGTTAGGGGGGGAACAGCATGAGAAATGGAAGGCTTTGATGCTGTGTAAGCACTGTTCAATGACAGCTAAAACATCAGTGTGTTTTAAATACTGTTTGGGTCACAAATCCAAGACACAGCACCCTACAAGCTACTGTGAAGAAAATTAATTAACTAAATTAACTCTAAAATTAACTAAAACAAGTACAGTGTGAAAGACAAAAAGTTGAAATAACAATCTTTTAAATGTTGTCATGCAATTTTTTATTTTGCCTGATCTATTTCTTTTCAAAGGACACAAAGTCTAGTTGTTTACAATAGGAAAAATTTGGCTTAGGGATGTATAGCAGATTATAACTGAGAAGTTTTTGAGTGTACAGGGAAATGCGTGGTTTATCAATTCTAATGGCACAAATTAAGTATATGGCAACACTGTATATTGGTCTGGATTACTTTGTATTTAGAATAGAAATGGCCAGCTTAATATTTTTAGAGCAGTATTTTACAAATAGTGGAATAATACTGCCTGCAGATTAATCCTTCAAATAATATGCTTCTGACTTTGGATCATATAAGAGAGGAAGGACACTGGTGTTTCAAAGAGTCTTTCTGAAAAAGATAAGCTATCAAAAGATTAGCAATAGACAATCTAGATACAGATGGTAAATGATGGTTAGTCTTTGGAATTTTTATTTTTATGTAAGTACCAGTGGTTTGTGTTGTTACTTTTGGCAAAAATGATAATGCAGAGGATAAAGAATAACTTTCTCCAAAAACAATAAATCAATAAGGCTATTTGTTAGTGGTGGCTTTTTACTTAGACCCTGGATAAACCAAGGATTAGGCTGTCTATTGTTCCCATACTACTGAATCTAATACTGCAACTGAAACTTTGCAGTCACCTCTTGTCAGTTGCCCCCTATCCTCACCCTAGATCAGGAGATAAAGTAATAAGCTGAGAGTTATCAAAAATTAAACTCAATGTACACATTGCGAAGATACTGAAATGAGCAGCATAAAAGGTCTTCAGCTGCCTCAATGCAAAGCAAACAAATTACAAAGGAAGGCCACAATGCAGAGAACATGTGGGGGAGATTAATAATGACCTAGGAATGGCTCTTGAACTAAATTAGCACTTTGTTCCACCTTTTAGTAAGGACAATGCTAATTGTAAAGAGTTAAAGAAAGATGATGGAAAAGAAGGTCTGAAAATAGAAGTTGTACAGCAAAGGTAAAAACAACAATCTAGTTGGAAGGCGATACTGAATAATTTCCATTCTAAAATTCTAAGAATTTACTCTTTGCTGGATAAAAAAACTGGCTGGATGGCCGGGCCCAAAGAGTTGTGGTGAAGGGAGTTAAATCCAGTTGGCAGCCAGTCACAAGTGGTGTTCCCCAGGGCTCAGTACTGGGGCCAGTTCTGTTTAATATCTTTATTAACGATCTGGATGAAGGGATCGACTGCACCCTCAGTAAGTTTGGAGGCGACACCAAGTTGGGCGGGAGTGTTGATCTGCTGGAGGTCAGGAAGGGTCTGCAGAGGGATCTGAACAGGCTGGATCAATGGGCTGAGGCCAACTGTATGAGGTTCAACAAGGCTCAGTGCTGGGTCCTGCACTCGGGCCACAACAACCCCATGCAATGCTACAGGCTT